ATAGAACCAACCGAAAAGCGATTTGACAGTTGGGGATGTTCCCTCGTCAGTCCCACGGGACAGGCATCGAGACTAAAGAACGAATGACACAGTCTCGTAGAAATAACTAATTATTCACTTATGCAGAAGAAAGTTTATTGATAGTACTATTTCTCAAAAACAATTTGAAATCACATAGAATAATCACATATCTAAATCATACCATTGCGATAATCGTAGAATAAAAAATAATATTGTTGAATCAAAAACATCATCCCCATAATCTCCCTCCTCCACATTGTATTCGTCATTCACCCATTCCGAAGTGTATGAACTCAATTCTTGGTTGATCTGGACACTGTTCGTACCATCTTGCTGTTCCTCTATAGCTGTAATTGCAAGCGCCATATGTCGAAGAATAGTTACTTCTACAGGACAGTGGGACCGAGATCGGGATCAGAACAATCCATGAGAAAGTCAACGATGCTGGGGCTAGAAAATCCTCTTCCTACAGGTCTCTAAGCGTGAATTATAATGTAGCCGAGTCGATAAAGACACAACATCAGATGACACCACTATTTATGCATTTCAACTCGAGCCAACTAGTCAATCGACTTTGATTCTTTTCCTAACATCATGTGATTTCATCAAAGGCAGTCTTATTATCATTCAGCAGAACGATATTTTGCACTTGGCTCAAATCAAAACAGCAGATGCTACTCTTGCTCTGATCATGGTTACTTGCTTCGATCCTTCATTTCCAAGCTCATCTTTTCATTGCTTCAAACCACCAGCACTCAGTGACCTAGCGATTTTGACAAAAACTTTTCGGGCACCACTGGTTAACCATCCAACTTTTCATACGGAAGGAGCATTCGAATCTTACGACAACAATATATCGATATCCCAATGGTGTGAGACGAAAAATAAACACTGGCTTACGCTCATTGTCCGTTGCTTTCAACGTTCATTGGTCTCACTAAACTAGGAAATGTACGTGGTACATAGCATGCGGAATATGGGTGTGGGTGTGATTCTTCCCTTCATCTACACCTAGTCTCACACCCAATTATTTTCATCATGAATTACTTTCAAAAAAAAAGAATGTGCATGTTTCTTGATTAGTGGAACTTTTCAAATAGATTTGTGTCCTTAGCATTTCATATTGCTTTTAACTTCCTTTGACAAAAAAAACATTCATCTCATTGCCATACTTTAAAAACAATAATAGAGAAATAAAGAATGTTGTTATTATTTTTCATTCATTGAAATACAATGCATGTGATTCTTTTATTGATTTAAGTTTAAGATACGTACTGTATAGTCTATCAAAATTTCTAGTATATTCATTTTCTGCTTAGGGATCTGCAAAGTAGGCTCGGTCCTGGTCTCGCCGGAATCAAATTTGCAATCAAATTTTGGTTTCAACAAGACTGAACTGGGCCCGGTACATTTTTTGCTGACAAAACTATTCTATATATTTTCGTATTTATTGTTCTGTCCTGATTAAGGATCTACTGACCGACTCGGTATATTTATGATTCTGATGACAATACAGATATGCAAGACCACTTTATTCGATCTAGTGACTATTTTCAAGAACCATAATAAAAGTAGTCATATTTTGGCATATATTCAATTTCGATACCATCAAAGTGATGCTTGAGCAAACACTGAGTGCAAGTCACTCATTTAGATCCTACGTTTATGTAAGAATTGTGGGTCCTGGGAGAATTTTGTAAATGAAACAGGTAGAATCGAAAAGAAAATTACCTAAGAAAAAAATTGTTGACTATTTATCTAGTTATGATACATGCATAAAAAGATATGCTGATGTTGCTGGTCTCTTAAAATCATTGACAGTAATTTTACGTATACCCACGAAGTTATACGGATTAGTAAAAAAAAGAAATTTTTTTCTAGAAACAAAATCAAGGTAAGAAGCAATAAAAAAAGTTCTAATAGAAACCGGGATCAAAAAGGTTGGTCTCGCAATTACCTATTTCTGATTAACTTTCGTTTGAATTATTAGACATAGTTTATATTACAAAAAAGAAACTTAGATAATGTAAATTAATCAAGATGATCATGATTTCAACATTTTGGTTCAACAACAATGAAAACTATTCATATGGTTATAATAATCAAAGTATTTGAAAAAGACAAAAAATTTTCTTTGAACAAGAGAAGTCTCGAAGTTAATATAGTTATTTTCAATTTCTATCGAAAGTTTGTATTCTTAAGGAGAGTCTTTCAAATGATAAATCGCTCGAGAGTGTGTGTTACTGCATATGTTCGTGCAATATCTCTAATATCTTAATAACTCCTACCTTTTCCATACATCCTGTGCTGCTACTTAATTGAGTTTCCGGAAATATCTGTAGAAGCCATGATATGGTTAGGATAACGATAGTAACAAGATCTGAAACTTACATAATCAAGTATTCTCGTTAAGACTTGTCTCTATGACAAGTTTCAAGTCGAAATTCAAAAATCAATTTTTCTGGTGTTCCTAAGCGATATCACGATATTTATTTAAAAAAAAATATCGTAAAAATGCAGTGTTTCTGCAGCAGTAAGCTAAGGATACGAACTCCTTTCCAGGCGTGGGTGTGGGTGTGATTCCTGTCAACAGTCACACTCACGCTCATATCCACACCCAAACCTTCAATAGATTCATAAATTAATTTATTTCTATTATTTATAACAAGTACACGTTCACCAATTTTTATATTTGATAAAGATTTCATTAAACCATTTTTAGTTATCACAATACTTCCATCAGGAAAACATTTTGCTTCACGTTTTATTGTAACATAAGTGTATTGAAGACAAACATTACTATTTGATGATATTGAAGTACAATTATATGTTGACTCATAATATGAATGATTTCGACTGTTAATACAACCAAATAACAATATTAAACAAAGTAAAAATGTAACAGACAAAAAGAGACATTTGAATGTTCGATGAAAGTATGTAATCAACTCTTGAAGTGATCGTGAATAAGAGTACTGAAGAAAGAAAAAAGCCGCAGAAGAATAGGAATATTCTTTTTTTGGTGTTATTGAATGTCATTGTTTTATTATTTCTCGTATAATCTATAATAATTGAATGACATGTTGGATATTATTCATTTCTTATCGTCATATAAGTGTTTGATAATATGTATGTATCTTTAACATTGTATTTCAATGCCTTAGCGAAAGATATATTTTGCATAATTAAATAATTTTATGATTTATTGAAGAGTTTTTTTTTTAATAAAAATAAAGCAAAATCAAAAAATATATATTTTTTTTTCAAATTAAAATAAATAAAAACAAACAATAATATTATGTTAACATAATAATTACATCGATGCCTCTTCTTTAGCTAATATATTAGGTAATCGGATTGGAAGTTGACTAAGATTAAGTTGGTTATCAATAGTAACACTAATGGAACCTGATAAAGATAAACGAAGAGTTTCATTTTTTAGAGAGCCCAAAACCGAACTCAATGTGAACAATCCAGCTGTAGTTCTCACTTCAATTTCTGGTGTTATAATTTCTTCAACACTACCGATGAAAATATTTGAATTGTAGGTAACAGTACCTATTTCTTTACTTGGATCTATTACACTACTAAAATCAACTCTTACATTCATCCCTGTTATAGTCAAAGGTGCATGAAACGGATTTTTAAGTCGAATACGCGAACGAAGTTTTTTGGAAATTAAAATAGAAGCAACATCTGCTAGAAGTATTTTTTCCAGAAGAATTTGTCGAACAAGTGCTTTTTCACCATAGAGACCAGGAACATATGTACGAATACGTAAATCAGAAATAGCCATCGAGAGTAAAGGAATAGAAGTACCTATGGAATTATTTGGCAAAATACCATGTAATTCTACTTCATTATCTTCTCCAGAAACCATACGTGAAACAAATTGTTCGGCAATAGCAAAGTTTTGTGGAGTTATTCCAAAAGTACCTTCTGCATTAAGTATAGTACTATTATTTTGTATTTCAAGATAAAATGGATCAATAATAACTAAACCAAGTGAAATATTACTTGTAAAGTCACGTAAATCAAGTGAAAGACGACCACCATTAAGAATATAAACAGCAGAAGGATTATTAATTCATGTTTTTACATTAAGAGAAAGTTCATGAGATGATAGAGCTTTAGTTAAATCGACTTCATCAATATTTAAAAGTCCATTACCAAATTGATCATAACCAGCAAGATGAAGTGTATCACTAACAGAAATATTACTTAAAGAAATATTTCCTATTATAATTTCAGCAAGTGCTTCAGCTAAACCTTCAATTGTTACTGATACATTCGTTGTTAGAACAAGATTAGCAGCAAATTCTTGAAAAGCTCGTTCATTAAGAATAACAAGTTCTTGTTTATTAAATTTCATTAAAAGTTCATTTGTTACTTGATTATGTTCAACAGGTATATCATGAAGAGTCATTTGACCTAAATTTGGTCCATTATCAGAACGCATTACAAAATTAATACTAGTTGTGAATGCTTTAAATGTCATATGAACATTAGATGGTAACTCAAATAAAACCAATAATTGACCAGTTATATAAACTTTATTGACATTTATTGAATCAAATTCAATACCAAAACTAAGAACTTCTACTCGTTGAATTAATTTTGTTTCTATGCCATCAAGATTTGATTTCATTGACAGGCCACTGACTGTTAAATCCAGAGCAGTATAGTAATATCTTCATTAGTAGATAATTCATGAAATAGTATTACTGATTGTGTTAGATTATTGAGATATGCAGAAAAAAATTTACCAACTATAGGCAAATGATCTTCATTTAATGGTGCAAGTAAACTAAAATAATTATAAACAAAAAATGATTGATATAATATAATATAAAAACAAAGAATGAATATTTTTCTATGTCCCTCCGATAGAATTTAAAAACATATATTCTCATTCTATAAAGCTCAAGTCAATTAAGAAAAAATAATAAATAAATAATAATAGAAATTAGTTTGAAAAGAATTTAAAATTTTTTTTCATTTGAGTCTTCATCTACAGCATCATCGACAAAAAACAAATATCATAACATTTTAGTTTAGCTTCTACCAAAAGATGAAAAGATAAAATTTATAGATGCGTGACTCATAGAAAATGTATGAAGAATGTGATGAGATGAATTTTTAATTTTCAAACAACTAAAAAAATATAGAATGAAGAAAAATAATTTTTACTACAATTCTTCATCCATTTGACAAAATGATAATTAGCAATGAAAAATAAATACATGTTTTCTATTAAATAAAATGTATTTTATTTATAATACTTTCTCAAACAAAACAAATGAACTAACCCATTAAGTGTCATATCATTGTTTCCCGGTTGTAAAGATAATACATCGATTGGCACTCGACCAAGAACTGTGTTGCTGTCACTATCAGCCATACTAAGTGTAAAATTTTCTAGTTTAATGTCAGTTACACCAGGATTACCGATAGTTACATTAATAGAAAGTTGAAGAGCATTGTCAACTTCTCCATTAACAGAAATACTATGAACACGAACATTATTAAGACCTGCAAGACCAATTAATGATATATCATTATTCACAACAATTCCATCAACATTCAATTGACCAAGAGCAAATGAACCATTAATAGAAGCAATACCAACAATACGAAAATTAATTCGATTAATATCATTAGCTTTAATAAAATTTTGAGCAAATTCTTCATAAGTTTTACCCGTATTACTAAGTATTAAATATTCATCATTAAATTCTGTTTCATATGTACTAGTAGTTTCATCAATTAATTTTACTGGAACTTGAGAAACATTAAGCATACCAACAGAATTATTTTCATAGAGAAGATAAACATTCATATTCATTGAATTAATATCAAGTGGAGATTGACTACCAAGTGGTGAATTAACTTTAATAGTAATTGAAGCTGAAAGTGTTACTGTTTTGTCATTTGTCGATGGAATAAGAGACATAGAATTAAATATTAATGTAGGAATAAGTTGTTCAGCAAATGGAGGCATTTGAACACTTAATGCAAGACCTTCCATACCAACAGCGAGTAAAGAATATGAAGTTGCATCTGAACCAGCTATTGTTTCAACTTTACTTGTTTTACCAGTAAGAAAATTTTGTATAACTTTTGAAAGTCCAATTTCATATTCAGAAGATTTTGATTGTAATTCACCAGAAAATGATATTGCATTTATACCTGGACGTAGAGTTGTATTACTATCAATTGATTCCATAAAACCAATAGATAAATCATTATAACGTAGAGAGAATTTTAATTTACCTGAACAAAGAACAAAAAAAGAAAATGATAAAATGATAAACTAGATAATTATTATTATGAAATTTTTACTGACCAAGTTCAATACTAAATATCGATGGATTTGGAATTTCAATAATAATATCAGCAACTATTCGTGTTTTATCCGATCGAAGAAGACTTACGGATCTAATACTTACATTTTGAAGACTATTCAATGCATTAAGTTTTACTTGTTTATTAAATGGAATATTCGAATAAACAGGCATAGCACCTGAAATAGGTTGTACAGATACTTTTGATGTTAAATACCATATAACATGTTCTTCAAAAATAAGTGAACGAGAGAACTTATGAAAAGCTTGTAAATCAGAAATAATAAATGGAGAATCAATTGGAACTAAAGTAGAACGATCTGGATCACCATCAATAACAATCGGTTGATCATTTCTAACAGTTCCAACATTATCAACATTGATAATAAGTGGTGGACGTATTGTAGCAGGGATCGATCCAGTACGTGATAGTTCTAATTGAGCTCGTAGACGAAAACGATCGTTTTCAATATCTTCAATATTTACTGAACGAAATGATAATTCAGCTTTTTCAATTGTAGAACGAACTATGGCTGGAACAATTGCATAGAATACAATTATTATTCCGATAAGTATGGCAAGCAAAATGGTAGCAATACATAATATAATAAATAGTTTACGATTCATTTGATAACCTTTATATCGACCACACATAGTGCAAATGGTTATTGTTTTTGATGATGATTTTTTATTTTTATCGGGAGATGGTGTATTTAAAACAGATTTCACATAATCTTCTGTATTGTCTGTGTCCGCATCTTTAGTAGCATTAGAAGTTGTTTTAGATGATTTAACAAAAACTACGGAGGGATTTGGACTAGGAGATACTTTTCCTTTCATTTTTAAGTTTATATCTGAAGAAAAAAATTAGAAATTCAGTATAAAAATGTTTACTTTTTACATATTGTACTTCAGAGTTATATATTTTTGCATATAAATAAATCTATGTGATAATATTCTCTTCAATGAATATACTTACTGGTTTTTTTAATCGAATTTTACATCTATACTTCATAAGTTGTTTTATTCTTATGTAATGTAAATTCATTTTTATGTTTTAACGAGATACTTTTTTTTTTAAAAAGATTCTCACATGTTGATAGATATTTGTTTTATTTTTAAATGAATAAAGAACATAGATAACATATTCGAATTATAAATGTCGCATATCAGTTTCAAGTAGATCTTCTATGGTAAAATTTGTTAATATATATGCATGCATCTCGATGCTGGAAGGACTGAGACTGACTAGCTTTCCTCCAAATTTTTATGTCGCGTTTTACAATTGGTTCAACCGAATATGTTCTTGAAATTTTTTAGGCAAATTTGAGATAGACCTAGAGTAATAATGGATTGAAAAGATAATACAGTCATATCGAATTCATTTAGATCAAACTTGTATTAACTAATATATTACATTAAAATAAAATTTAACCATGTGTTACATGAAGTTTTATTGTCAACAAAATATCATATCTAATCATGGGCAAACAACACAAAAAAAAACAACGAAGGTTGTCCTTATGAATGTTCTCTGTTCTTTGCCCTGCATTCACGGTCGAGATATAAATTGAATTTTGTACTTTTTCAAAACTTGTTTTAGTATAAATAGTAATTCAATTTCATCCACGTTTTACTGTTTCACTTTTTATTTAATGCATTGTTCAGACTGAACCAACACCTCAACATAGAATAAAATATAGTTAATCTCTAATCCTAGATTGGGTTGGGTGTGGATGTGCACCTTCTCTTCATCGACAGCCACACCCTCAAAGTAATTTATCATCAAATGAAGATATTCAACGTATACTTAAAAATTACAAAGATAACCAAATTATTTCTTATAGTGATTACTTTCAAGATGTAAAAGAAAGTCTAAGTCATGTCTACATGTATTCATATAGACTGGAATGTCATAATAATGGCACACCGACAGTTGAGCCATCGACAGTTGAGCCCCGACAGTTGAGCCCCGACAAATGAGCTCTCGA